TTTAGGTTTTTCTGGGATTTTTCCAAGCGGATAAAACATCAGCCCCTGACGTTTTCAGTAGATGTTCGTTTATCCCTCGCTCGCATTTTGAGACAAGTTCAGTGATGATCAGTTTCTATGGTTACGAGGTATGACGTAATAAGTAGCAGGTGGTCAAGCCATTTTGAGTGAAAATGTATGTTTTTTTCCAACTTTTTCAACAATAAAAGAAAGATGTTGTAGATAAAATCATGCAAAGTGCTTATCTACGTGTTATTATTCATGTCGAGCAATTACCATTTCTCGTTGTAGTAACCTGATTTCTAATTCTTTGTAATATCCAAGATGGCGGCAAAGGTGGCGCCCATTGTTGGTGACGTAACAGGCCTCCAGCAGCGCCACCATTCATAAAATATACCTCATCTTGTTAAGAAGATCAAAGGCTTTTCAGTGAAGGCAAAATCGCTTCGAAATACCGCAACATATCAAAATAACATATCTGGGGAGGGGTTCCATCTACCATCTACTTGTTCCTAGAATTTGAAGAAATCTATCTTGTCTGGTTTACTTATGTCCCATAGGGAAAAATATCATCTATGTAGCATTTTCAAAAAGTTGGTTTAAAGACGGTTTTGCTTAAACTTTCTGTTTCAATATATGCTTCCATGAAAATGTTGGAAAGGAAACTGCTGTATGTGCTCATCGCGGTACCGTGGTTTTTTACTGATACTGCTTTCCATCAAACTGGAAAGAATTTTCTTTGAGGATTAATCTGAGCATTTCTCGGACAGAAACAAGAAACGTTCAGTTTTTTCACCTTTGTCGTTTCAATAAAATTTATAAAGTCGTCAGTGATTATGATATTAGTTGTAGTAATGTACCCGTATCAACAAAAGGGGAAGTTCTTTCTGTTAGACTATCTGATGAGTCATAAATTTAAAGAGGTTACTTCCTAACGGCTAGAAAAAAAATGAAAAATGCTCTTTTTCTGAAACAAATATTGATTATGTCAGCCCATGTCGGTAGTCGGTTAATATTTTTCCTGTCGGTAGTCGGTATTTTTTTACTCGTTTTGTCGGTAGTCAGTAATATTTTTCGCCCTTTGTCGCTAGTCGGTTAACCCCATTCACACCCTCTTTTAACTGCTGTAAATACATTGTCATTTAAACAGGAATCAATCAATTTATTTCACCATAACTAAATAACCAATTTATGACCAAAAATTGCTCCATTCACAGCAATGCGTTGGGTTAACTAGGGGGGTAAAACCCCCAAATTTTCAGCACATGCTTTTTCTTTTCAAACTAACAAAATCTCTTTGACCGCGTTTCTGTAAACTAACAAAGAATATGTAAATTTCGTATAAAATCATTCGAATGTGTAATTGTTATTACCATCGTCATGGTCAAGTGACGGAGGGAAAGTCCCTTATGAGTAATAACATGGTTTAATGAGTTTTGACAAAGTATGTTTGTAGAGTTAAAAAGAAAATCAAAACAACGATCTGAGTAATATTTCACCATTGTTTTGTAAAAATTCGAGTTCCTGCTCATACATTCAAGCATAGCAGCAGTTTCCTGAGTTAACTACATACATACATACATACATACATACATACATACACACACACACACACACACACACACA